GGACTGCATCTCCCCAGGGACCAGGCACAGCAAGTGGCTCATCTGCCCCAGGGCTTCTGATCAACCAGAAAGGAGAGAGGAAAAAAAAAGAGCTTTTTATTTATTTTTCATTTTAGGTTTTTCATCCAAAGGTTGTTTTCTCATGCTGTCATTTTCCCTGTTACCATCGCTCATAAAGCAGCGAGAAATATGCCACTCCTGAGTGGGATGCACCTGACCACAGCTGGCTCAGATTCTCCGAAGCTGGACAAAACCCTTGTCGTGCCGATTTCTCTCTGCTGACAGCACAGGGAGCCGGCTCAGGTGGCAGCTCTCTATTGCAGACGTCTTAACAGGTGAATCCCACAACAGCCACCTCAACCCTGCATCCTGCAGATAAGCGTGATGAAGGCATGACCTTGCACCCATCAGTCAGTGCCTGCTTTCAGAGAGGGTTTGGAGTAGATGAGCTCCTGAGGTCCCTGCCAACCTGCTTTTTTCCCAAATTCAGTGGTTCTGCAAATACCAGTACCAAAACAAACTTCCGTCCGCTTCATACACAGCACTCCTGAGCGAGGGGGCTGAACTGGACCATGAGGCTGCCGCCAAAAGGTAGCCACGTTAGAGGAGAATTGCCAAATATTTAGTCTCTGCAATTTTATAGCATCTGTTACCACGCATGTTAGTAGTGGGCTTTTGGATGTACTCCATCAAAAGCTGTTATTTCACCACAACTCCATGCAGCTGATGAAGTGGAGCAGGGGTAACGGAGTGGAATTTGGTCCGTTTTCCTCTGTCCAGGTTTTAATAAAGAAAACAAATACACAACCATACACAGAGTACCAAGGGAATATACAGCATTCTTCACAGCTTCTGGCAAGGGACATACGCTAACAAAGGTCAATAAAAAAAAACAGAACAAAACAGCAGAAATACGTTTTCAAATGTTGGTTTGTCCAGGCATCTGCTTTCCTGCATGGGGGCAGAATACTAGTCCCAATCCTGCCTGCATACATTGCTAGACATAAGGGTCTAAGCAATTCTCATGCTTTTATGATAAGCCCAGCGATGGCTGACATTTTCAATTTCATGCTCCCTCGGGCCAGTGATAACAGAAGTCTCCCCACTTTCTGTTTTTACAGAGCAGACTCATAGCCCTCTCAGCTACAGAGAAAAGCCTAAAGATGTGCTCCAAGAGCATCCTCTAAGCTCAAAAAACATAAAGCAAGTAAAGGTTTCTCTATTACTACAAACAACCACAAATTTTTAAAAAATCTGCAAACTCTAAAACCTACAAATATCTCACTACACTTCAAATCGCACAATTTCAGAGCCCAGGGCGATCGAACTGATCAGAGCTGACATTGCTGGGAATGAAATCAGGGTCGCTCCCCCCCATAGTGAGAAGGGTACCATTTGGTAGGGGCCTCTGGTGACAAGTGTCTGCAGTTGGTGGCTCCTCTGCTTTAAAGGCAAATACGTTTTGCCTAGTAAAAACTTTGTAAGCATAGCTGACTAACAAGCAACTCACTTCTCTGGTCTTATCCAGTCAGTCTGCTGTAGGATAAGAAAAATAGAGAGGTCCCAGCCCTACCCTCCAGGAAATGCGTTGATTTGCAATATATTAAAAACTGGCTTTTTTTAATAACCCTAGGCGTACCTGCTCGGTTCAGACAGATCCATTACGTATGGCAGGACTTACAGATTGACTATAAAATTTCCAGTCTTGAACACTGGCTTCCTAAAACTCTCATGCAAACACTGAATGTCTAACATCAGATCACAGCAAACCTGCAGTGCTTAATTTACCATATTGTGCAAGGCTGCTGTGGTTGCTCAGCCAACTCGGGAACCACCTGAAAGCCTGCCATGGGGCTCTGATTTTTACCAAATAAAAGTCTTGTGTGACTGCGGAGAGTGTATTTTCAGGGTTAAAAGCATCAGGCTTGCCACAGCAGGAGTCAAATGGAAAGGCTCTGACTATCCGGAGCATCACTGCTTTCCTTCTGTCGTCAGCAGCGTGCATTTTCCTCCCTGTAGTGCTTTCTGAGGAACACCCTCGGCATCTCTTCCGCCTCCCAAAACAAAACATCCCCAGGACGTTACATCACAGGCTGGCTGCGGGCAGGGAGTTAGGCAGGGAAGGGCAACGCAAACTTTACGTTGGATTTGGCACAAAAACCCACTATGAGAACCCAGCCCTTCAGGCTTTGCATTTTCATCTGCTTTAAACAAAGCCTGACAACACAAACTTTTGTGGAGGAGCTTGGCAGAGGCCAAGACAAACCCAGCCCGGGTTTGGTCCCTGCCTGGGGAAGAACAGTGGTTCCTATGGTAGGGGCCAGTGGTGGCCATGGGGCTGTGAGACAGAGGCTACGGACCTGCATTGAACACCACACTGCATCGCCTTTGCCGTATTCCCCTTTGATGGCAAAGGTAGCTGGTGGCACTGCTGAAACTCAGAGAGTTAATGGCTCCCGAAGCAAAAGAACTGCTGACCTCTAGCACTTCTTTGACTAAAATGTTGCTTTCTTTTGCAGCTGGTGAAGTATCAAACACGCGGTGGTCAGGAAACACATTAAATACTAGCAATCACAACTTTTTTGTCCTCTCTCTCTGATCTCGACACTTGTGACACTGTGCTTTGGCAAAACCTCTTAAAACTCCTTGCCACGTGTGCTGACACACAAAACCCAACTGGATTGTGCACAAAATTATCTCACTGTAACATATCTGAATTGATACAGCAAAGACAAGAAGTCAACTCCAGTATACAAGGTGTTGTTAATTACACTTAATGAGAAGCCCAACCGTGATTTGATTCTCCTTTCTTGTGTGCTAAAGGAAATGGAGATCCTGGAACACAAGTGTGCTCCCTGGCAGCGGGGGAAGGCAAGGAGAAGTTGCCTCTGATGGTGACGGGTGACAGCACGACCTCCTCTTAGGAGGAGAAAGCTCTTGAGCAGGCTGGAAAAACATGCAGTCAATTTGCGGGTTGGCCGGGGAGGCCAGAGGGACACAAGGGCTTGTCTGGCTGCTTCCCGACACAGTCAGGGTGTTCCCTCGGAAGGACTTCTCCTGGGGCAGCTCCGACCGCTGCTGCAGCCTGGCCTTGACCCATAGCTCAGCAGCTGGAAAGCTTGGTGGCTTCAAGGTGAGTTAAGAGAACTTGATGGAATTTAAGGGCAAATTCAAGGAAGCAAATTACAGGCTACTAACAAAGGCACCGCCTCAGTTCAGGAAATCACTGTAGTACAAATAGCCTGGGAGAGTATTTTGGGAGGGAAATCAGTATGCGTTTGCCCTGTCCTTGTACTTTTCCTAAGGCACTAGCTTTGGACGGCCGGGGATGGTGCAACTTCTGTCTGACCTGGGTCTGTCATTTTCCTATTCTTAGTTTAAAAGTAACAGCAGGAAACTGCTTTACATTTATGGCTTCTGATCACTTAATATAGGGCTAGGCACAGGGTAAGCTTTCCTTACATGTCTCTCAAACATTGTCATCTGGAAATTTAATTTCCACATTGCCTCATCAGATCCCAGCGAGGAGGCAGCACCCATCCCGACGCCTGGGAGAGCACTGCAGGAAGGGTGAAGTCTTGTTCCCTCCGGGCAGGGGGGTTCTGCCGTGACTTCAGAGGACCCTGAGGAGCACCCTGGGCACAGCAATCTGCGCCCATGGAAGGCCCAGGGTGGAGAGAAAACCATGCCCTAGACCAACACTGGTGACCTGTAGGATGTTTCTAACAGCCCTTACTTTGCCCTATGCTTGCCCTGCATCATGTGTTGGTGTTTGTGCTGTAGGATTAGCGACATGGCTTACCGTGCTGGCACTGTAGCTGATAGCGGAGGGAGCTACAGTGCATTTCCTTCAAAGCTAAGTATTTTTGATGGACTGCAAAGATCCGTTCCTAATAAAAATAAATGCCTGCAATAAATGCAGCTTTTAACCTGCGCTCTGGTAACTGCAAGGGCTGAAGGTAAAAATACCTCATTAAATTTTATATCGGTAATTCCAGAGGATGATCATCTGAACTTGGTTTACACCAGCTCTCATGCAAACCCGTGCCTGGGCTGGCACAGGGATGATGTACGGGGAAGGAACAAGCTATTCATGCTTTAAGCGAAAGGAAGGTGCAAAAATGCAGTCAAGTAGAAATTGTGCCCATTTCACAGCAGCTGAAGGAGAACGTCCTTCACTCCCGGTGCAGCCACTGGTCCCAGCTGCAGAAGGACTCTGACCTAGGAGTCCCTGCCAGCACTTGCAGCCTTGCCTCCAACTCTTGTCTCCTGTAGAGCTTCACATCTCCCAGATCTACATACCCAAGAGCCGTATGTGGAAAAAATACAAACTTCTTGTAATCTTGTCAGTCTTTCCTTCAGCTGTTGTTCAGGAAAGCACACTGTGTGGGAGAATATCACATTATTAAATGGGAGAGAGAGGATACTGTTCAGTCAGTAACAGGACTATTTTCCCCTCCTTCTTGTGTGCAGCAGGGCAGCCCTTTGACTGTGACTGATCGGAGATGATGGCCAGCAGAGCAGGTGAGTGAAATGAGAAGCATTGCCTGATCTGGAAGCAAAACGTTATATCTGCGTGGTCCTCTTGGGTAGTATTCAGGGACACGAGGCGTTACACATCTCTTCATCATGAATATCAAAGCAGCACTGCATAGTACATGAAAGGTAAGTGTCTAGTGAAGCAGACAGTAGGAATTTTTGCTAATAAAAGCATTGAACTGATATTCTCGGCGTGTCTGGATGTGATTGCCTAATGACGTTGCATGGAGAGCACCCATCTCACCATTACTCAAAGAAAGGTCAGGATAATTTTCAGTTGTGGCATGAAGTTCTGCAGTGATTTGCAAAGCTCTTCTCTTGCCTTGGGGATTGAAATGAGAAGCTGCTTCTCTGAGGGACTCTCTTGCCCATTTTGACCCCAGGAAGAGAATTTCTATCTAAAACCCTTGAGACTGTTCAGCCAACAGGATCT